TCTGCCTCTGAATCATCATTATGCCTGACATTATTAATGTCAAACCCATCCGAGCGGAACGGATCTCATCACCGCTCGCTGATTGCAGCGCTATACTTCGCAGGGCCCATTATAATCACAACCAGTACTTTTTTTTTTTACCTTACTGGTAATGGAACCGCAGCTCTGCTAATGTGGCGGCGCTCAGCTCGGTGCGCGGACTGTACAGCGCAGTTATCAGGGTAGACTCAAATGGTGTTATATACAGTGCAAAGCAATCAGTGTTGATAATTCAGGTCACATGATCTTTATCAGTCTACGTCCGGGGATGGCCAAACTCCGGCCCTCCAGCTGTGGTGGTGAAACGACAAATCCCATGATGCATCTCTCTGGGGGAGTCATGTATGTGAGACTTGTGCAAAGCCTCATGGGATTCGTAGTTCCACCGCAGCTGGAGGGCCGCAGTTTGGCCATCCCTGGTCTATGTGATCAGTATCGGTGTACATACAGCATATGGTGTATCTGCAATGGTAGCTTGGTGGTCATTTTCTGCGGAGCATGTACGAGTGCTTACTATCCGTGTGTGTGTGTGTAGACGCTCGGTCCCGCTACTACTCATTGCACCAGGATCACAAGCAGTGCGCACAACACAACAAAACCACGCATGCTCACCATCTTCCAGGGGGACGTAGATGTTGAGGTACAGGCAATCCTCACTCTGGTTTTGTACGTATCCGGCCACCACATCCATATTCTCGGTGAACCATAAAGGCAGCATAATTCCAGGTAACATTCCGTGCAAGTTTTGCGGGCAAACGGGGGCAAAGGTCGTGGCATTCCGTACTTCCGTCCAAGATGCCGGCGCCTCGGGCGGCTGAAACCTGCGCTCTCCTATGGGCGGGGTGGCGAAAGGCACCCCCAGGTACTGTACGACGGGGCCCAGGATCTCATTGTTCAGGTCTTTCTTCACGCCGCGCAGCTTGCCATAGTTCGTGTTGACCACAGGATATTTCTCATCTCCCTTTTGCCCGGACGCGGGGCAGGCGGCCAGGAGCCAGAGCATGAAGGGGGCACGGAGATCCGGCGCCATGAGAAGAAAATTTGTCTCCTGGAATCCCTTGAGATTTCCTTGGGGGCCGAGAGGATGAGTTGGAACTTTCCAAAAAGGTTTTTAAAATGGGGGGGGGGGGGTATTTTATGCAAAAACATTCATTTCAAAATGGTGGTGGAGGGTTTTAGAGCATTACAAAAAGTGCTACAATTTGGGGGGAAAAATTAAAACCATACGTATAAAAGATCATTTTATATCAATCGATGAGCAGATAAAATCCTCTACAACGAGAGCGCGGTGTATTTGTGAGGCAAAGTTAAGCACAAGGGGTACATTTTCGGAGAGTGATGTTTGTACCAAGTCATAGGAGGCAGGAGAAGGACTTAGGCCAAGGCGAAAACGACGGAGGGCGAGAGGAACATCGGAGGAGAGGCCGCTACGAGACCGAGGGACAGCCGAGGTTGTGCGGGAGACGCCATTCTATTACGTTCCATCGCGGACCCGTACATAGGGTGTCGAGCTGTGGCGGGGCCTCCACGAGACAGACATTGAAATCCTGAGAGAGAAAGACAAGACAAAAGAAAAGCCCGGGGGGTGAAAACAGGAAAAATTAAACCAGACAACATTTATTTTATTTAAGAAGACAATAAATAGGAGTCTCTACCTAGCTGCCCAGTCCTCCTCCCCCTCCCCCTCCTCCTCTCCCTCCGCTTCCCCCGATTTATAATGAGCGGGATCATTTATTTAATTAAACCGTTCCTTCTGTTTATAGTTTGAAATCCAACAATTATAGTAACAAACTTATAATTAGTCAATGTGCGAGAGATTGAGGGGGCTAGAGCCGAACGGGAACAGGAGAAAACTAAGGAAGGGAGACCGCACCGGAGGCAACGAAGGGGAAAAAAATGATGGGGGTCGGTGGGTACGGGAGAGGGAAGGAGGACCTGGGAAGGAGCAGGTTGGGTCAGTTTCGATAATGACAAAGTTTTAAAATGTTAAGTGTTCCAAAACTTCTCCAGGAATTCACAATTTGTAGAAAGTATATTCTGTATATCGGTGATTCTCAACTTCTGTAACCTCAGGACGCCACATTTGTCTTTGGTCATTTAAAGGACATCATGGATTCTTGCATCGGGGCCCTGGGGTCACAAGTTACGCCACTGTCCGTTACATAGCTACTGATTCATTCCTGGTAAGGAACTGATTAAATCCAATTAGCCACAGAACTTGTGCAAGTGTGTCCATAATTAAAATAGTGGCAATCTTTAAAAAAAAAAAAAAACTTTAATTAGCTTTTTGTTGTTCCCAATGTCAGGGTTCCCGAGTGCTGGCGATGGCCCGTTTCTACCAACAAACCACAGACTACATGCTCCAAATGATCTGCTCCTCGACAGGACAAGTAACAGAGGCCGTAAAATCTCTGGATTCTGTAACTCGCTGTCGTTCTGCACATTAAATATCTTAGTAGTAGTTCTCCTGAAGTGAGTTCTTTGTATAATTCATGCATCAAGGAACATGTCCTAGATTGGGTGAATTAGAAAGATGCCGAAAACCTGGAAAGGTGTTAACAGAACAATATTTCCAATTTGTGCAGCGAAGGAAATAATCGATGGACCCGATCCCAACCGGTGAATGGGTATGGATTTTACGTATGTTTAAGTATCTTAAGATGAGATGATACATAAGAAAAAGAGATGTTGGTTGGGTGGAACGTGAGTCAGAAGAGAAGACGAGTTGTGGGATGAAGAGAGGAGAGATGACAGGAGGGAAGATCGCCAATAATAGATGAAATGAAGATGGTTGGAAGGCAGGATGGAAACAAAGTAAATGAGAAGAAAGCAAATAATGGATAGTAAGAGTAAGAACAGAAGAGATACAAGAGGCAGGGAAGAGAAGAAATAATAAGGAAGGCATAGGATGGGAAGAGCATGAAAGAAAAGAAAGGCGATACAAGATGCAGAGAATATAAACTAGAAAGGGAGGGGATGTGGGATGGAGAGAAGGTTAGTGAGATGAGATGTGGGAGGGAGAGAAGGTTAGTGAGATGAGAGAGGAGATGCGGGATGGAGAGAAGGTTAGTGAGATGAGAGAGGAGATGCGGGATGGAGATAAGGATAGTGAGATGAGAGAGGAGATGCGGGATGGAGAGAAGGTTAGTGAGATGAGAGAGGAGATGTGGGATGGAGAGAAGGATAGTGAGATGAGAGAGGAGATGTGGGATGGAGAGAAGGATAGTGAGATGAGAGAGGAGATGGTAATGGAGAGAAGGATAGTGAGAGGAGAGAGGAGATGCGGGATGGAGAGAAGGTTAGTGAGATGAGAGAGGAGAGGTGGGATGGAGAGAAGGTTAGTGAGATGAGAGAGGAGAGGTGGGATGGAGAGAAGGTTAGTGAGATGAGAGAGGAGAGGTGGGATGGAGAGAAGGTTAGTGAGATGAGAGAGGAGAGGTGGGATGGAGAGAAGGTTAGTGAGATGAGAGAGGAGAGGTGGGATGGAGAGAAGGTTAGTGAGATGAGAGAGGAGAGGTGGGATGGAGAGAAGGTTAGTGAGATGAGAGAGGAGAGGTGGGATGGAGAGAAGGTTAGTGAGATGAGAGAGGAGAGGTGGGATGGAGAGAAGGTTAGTGAGATGAGAGAGGAGAGGTGGGATGGAGAGAAGGTTAGTGAGATGAGAGAGGAGAGGTGGGATGGAGAGAAGGTTAGTGAGATGAGAGAGGAGAGGTGGGATGGAGAGAAGGTTAGTGAGATGAGAGAGGAGAGGTGGGATGGAGAGAAGGTTAGTGAGATGAGAGAGGAGAGGTGGGATGGAGAGAAGGTTAGTGAGATGAGAGAGGAGAGGTGGGATGGAGAGAAGGTTAGTGAGATGAGAGAGGAGAGGTGGGATGGAGAGAAGGTTAGTGAGATGAGAGAGGAGAGGTGGGATGGAGAGAAGGTTAGTGAGATGAGAGAGGAGAGGTGGGATGGAGAGAAGGTTAGTGAGATGAGAGAGGAGAGGTGGGATGGAGAGAAGGTTAGTGAGATGAGAGAGGAGAGGTGGGATGGAGAGAAGGTTAGTGAGATGAGAGAGGAGAGGTGGGATGGAGAGAAGGTTAGTGAGATGAGAGAGGAGAGGTGGGATGGAGAGAAGGTTAGTGAGATGAGAGAGGAGAGGTGGGATGGAGAGAAGGTTAGTGAGATGAGAGAGGAGAGGTGGGATGGAGAGAAGGTTAGTGAGATGAGAGAGGAGAGGTGGGATGGAGAGAAGGTTAGTGAGATGAGAGAGGAGAGGTGGGATGGAGAGAAGGTTAGTGAGATGAGAGAGGAGAGGTGGGATGGAGAGAAGGTTAGTGAGATGAGAGAGGAGAGGTGGGATGGAGAGAAGGTTAGTGAGATGAGAGAGGAGAGGTGGGATGGAGAGAAGGTTAGTGAGATGAGAGAGGAGAGGTGGGATGGAGAGAAGGTTAGTGAGATGAGAGAGGAGAGGTGGGATGGAGAGAAGGTTAGTGAGATGAGAGAGGAGAGGTGGGATGGAGAGAAGGTTAGTGAGATGAGAGAGGAGAGGTGGGATGGAGAGAAGGTTAGTGAGATGAGAGAGGAGAGGTGGGATGGAGAGAAGGTTAGTGAGATGAGAGAGGAGAGGTGGGATGGAGAGAAGGTTAGTGAGATGAGAGAGGAGAGGTGGGATGGAGAGAAGGTTAGTGAGATGAGAGAGGAGAGGTGGGATGGAGAGAAGGTTAGTGAGATGAGAGAGGAGAGGTGGGATGGAGAGAAGGTTAGTGAGATGAGAGAGGAGAGGTGGGATGGAGAGAAGGTTAGTGAGATGAGAGAGGAGAGGTGGGATGGAGAGAAGGTTAGTGAGATGAGAGAGGAGAGGTGGGATGGAGAGAAGGTTAGTGAGATGAGAGAGGAGAGGTGGGATGGAGAGAAGGTTAGTGAGATGAGAGAGGAGAGGTGGGATGGAGAGAAGGTTAGTGAGATGAGAGAGGAGAGGTGGGATGGAGAGAAGGTTAGTGAGATGAGAGAGGAGAGGTGGGATGGAGAGAAGGTTAGTGAGATGAGAGAGGAGAGGTGGGATGGAGAGAAGGTTAGTGAGATGAGAGAGGAGAGGTGGGATGGAGAGAAGGTTAGTGAGATGAGAGAGGAGAGGTGGGATGGAGAGAAGGTTAGTGAGATGAGAGAGGAGAGGTGGGATGGAGAGAAGGTTAGTGAGATGAGAGAGGAGAGGTGGGATGGAGAGAAGGTTAGTGAGATGAGAGAGGAGAGGTGGGATGGAGAGAAGGTTAGTGAGATGAGAGAGGAGAGGTGGGATGGAGAGAAGGTTAGTGAGATGAGAGAGGAGAGGTGGGATGGAGAGAAGGTTAGTGAGATGAGAGAGGAGAGGTGGGATGGAGAGAAGGTTAGTGAGATGAGAGAGGAGAGGTGGGATGGAGAGAAGGTTAGTGAGATGAGAGAGGAGAGGTGGGATGGAGAGAAGGTTAGTGAGATGAGAGAGGAGAGGTGGGATGGAGAGAAGGTTAGTGAGATGAGAGAGGAGAGGTGGGATGGAGAGAAGGTTAGTGAGATGAGAGAGGAGAGGTGGGATGGAGAGAAGGTTAGTGAGATGAGAGAGGAGAGGTGGGATGGAGAGAAGGTTAGTGAGATGAGAGAGGAGAGGTGGGATGGAGAGAAGGTTAGTGAGATGAGAGAGGAGAGGTGGGATGGAGAGAAGGTTAGTGAGATGAGAGAGGAGAGGTGGGATGGAGAGAAGGTTAGTGAGATGAGAGAGGAGAGGTGGGATGGAGAGAAGGTTAGTGAGATGAGAGAGGAGAGGTGGGATGGAGAGAAGGTTAGTGAGATGAGAGAGGAGAGGTGGGATGGAGAGAAGGTTAGTGAGATGAGAGAGGAGAGGTGGGATGGAGAGAAGGTTAGTGAGATGAGAGAGGAGAGGTGGGATGGAGAGAAGGTTAGTGAGATGAGAGAGGAGAGGTGGGATGGAGAGAAGGTTAGTGAGATGAGAGAGGAGAGGTGGGATGGAGAGAAGGTTAGTGAGATGAGAGAGGAGAGGTGGGATGGAGAGAAGGTTAGTGAGATGAGAGAGGAGAGGTGGGATGGAGAGAAGGTTAGTGAGATGAGAGAGGAGAGGTGGGATGGAGAGAA